TTAAAAATTGTGCCAGGTACATGTCCGTGCGTGCCCAAGATCCCGAGAGGAGAATGGAGGAGAAGGGATTGCGGCGTGACCATCCCCCCTGGGGGGTGATTTCTCGCTTTCTGTCTCTCTGTCTCTGTCTGTCTGTCTGGCGAGCGCACGCGCCCTATTGCAAAAACCTCTTCAAAAAAAAATTATTTAACTTGTTATTTTTTTTTTTTAAGAATTATTTACCTTTATTTATTTTAATTTGATGGGGGGGTGGAGAAAAGGAAAGGGAAGGGAAGGGAAGAAAGAAAAGAAAGAAAGGGGGAGTGAGAAAGTAAGCTGCCAGGTCTGGGATTCGAATCACGGCCAGCCATGTGGGAGTCCAGCACCCTTAACCGCCATGCCACCTGCTAGCCTTGAAAAAATAGTTGTTTTGTTTCCTGGAAACGGAAGCTAGATATGTATGGTCTTTTCACCCTGCCCCTAGCCTCATTAACCCCAAGCCCCTTACTGCTATAGCTACAGGAAGTGGAAAATGGAAAGTATGTGAAGCTTTATACGAAATCAGGGCACGCCAGCTCCAGCCTGGCAGGTAGGGGAGCCGGACCCCACATGGTCGACCACAGTTCTGAGAAACGAGTGCATGCGCAGTGCAAGTCCTGCCAGGATGGAGCAGTGGAGGAGAGGGACTGTGGCGTGAGCACGCCTCATCGCAGGGTACTTCTGTTCTTTCTCTGGTGGACTCACGTGCCTTCTGGCAACTCCAAGAAAAAAGAGAAATCAAGGGAAACTGGTCGATAACAGCCTAAAGCCGAGGGAGTGCCACCTTTCTCTGGAGCCAGTCCAGAGCAGAGGGAGTTGAACTGCACCAGAGCTTCCATACTGCTTGTGGACGTGGAGCAACAGAAGCAGGGGCTGGGTCAGGCAGGAGAACGTTGTATGAGGTAAGCCCTAGCAAAAGCAGAGTACCCGTAACTCCAGCTGCAGCGCCTAGACCCATCTGAAAACACCTGTGTTCCGAGGGCCTGCTCTGCCCCATCTCTGTGGGAAACAGGTCAGGTCCACTGGGCAGGCATGGCGTGGGGAGGTGGGGAGGTGGCCTGTGCGGCTGGTGCACGGGGCGGGGCGTCGGTGCTGCTGGGCCTCACCTTCAGCGGTGCCTGGTAGGGCAGATGTGGCAGCTCCCCTCTGGGCTTGTCGCTATCCAGCCAGCTTGGGCCAGAGTTTCTTCTGGGTCGTAGCACCTGCCCATCTGTCCCCTGGCTTGGATGGCCTCGTCTCCTTCCTTCCAATACTTGATGACTCCTCATCTTTGAATGTCTAAACTGGAGGTACTAGCCTCCCAGGAGCCTCTCCTGCATGCCAAGACTGTCTTCTGCAGTGTAGCCAGCTCCACCTCTGGGAGAAGGGTGACGAGCAGCCAAGATCTTAAGGACAGAGCCTTGCCCTTGTCAGAGTCAGGAGAGGGGCTGCTCTGGGGCCAGGTCTCGCTGCCAGTGGGGAGCTGAAGCTCAGAACCAGCAGCTCTGAAACTATGGACAGGTAGAGCTACTCAGGGATGAAGCTTTCCTTATACTTGACAGAGGAAGAGGAGTTAGGTGAAGGATTTGAATGCCTCCGGTCGGGGCTTCTAAGGGAACCCTAATGCTGAGTTGGGTACCCTAACTGGGGCAGCGGGGCTCCATTAGACTGACTGCTCATGCCAGCTGTTGTTTTCTAATGCAGACCTCGAAAAAGCCCAAGACAGCAGAAGCAGATACCTCCAGTGAGCTGGCTAAGAAGAGCAAAGAGGTATTTAGGAAAGAGGTAAGATGCAGTGGGGTGGACGCTAAGCCCTCCAACGCAGACCCGAGGCCGCCTGAAGGTAGGCCAGGAGACGAGGGTCGCTGCTGGGTCTCGCTGCGGTGCTGCGTTGCCCATCAGGAACTCCTTTGCCATCTCTCTGGCCTGCCAGGATCCCCCTGCAGTCAGGTGCCTGTGCACATGGGGCCTCCTGTAGCCTCCACAGCAAAGGAAGCTGCAGGTAGTGTGAGGTGCCCGGCCTCCGTGCCCGGACTGGGAGGACAGATCCACAGTGGCAGTCCAGGAGGACCTGGGGGTGGCGGGTGAGCAGGGCCCGCCCAGGACCACTCTCTGCCCACCGTGAAGCTGTGCTCCCCAGGGCGTGTCACACAGCACAGCACAGCACGTGCAGGACTCCAGTGACTCCGTGACCAAATCCCTGTGGCCCTGGGGTTGCGAAGCCTCCCGGTAGCTCTAGATTCCTTCTCTGTCCTTCCCTGCCCAGGGCCAGAGAACCCAGCTACAGTCCCATTTTTGCAAAGGGCACACAATTTGTTGGCTGGAACCTGGGGCTGCTACGAGACCCAGTGGTGAAGCCTGCAGCTGGGCCCCACCCGCTCCTGCTCCTGTGAGGGTCCTCTCTCTCGTCTCCTAGTGGCTCACTCACATGCTGCCAGGCAGGCCCGAGCCCTCTGGACAGCTGGGCAGCGCGTTCTCTTTCTGCAGATGTCGCAGTTCATCGTCCAGTGCCTGAACCCTTACCGGAAACCGGACTGCAAAGTCGGAAGAATCACCACAACGGAAGACTTCAAGCATCTAGCTCGCAAGGTACCCCATTAGTGTTCCGGGGAGAGGTGTGCGCCCTAAGAAGGCCCCTTTTATCATAGCAGGTAGCAGGTGTGGCTTTCCTCGCCCGGTGCCAGGACTGGGGCCCAGTGATGGGGAGGGGAGGGCGGGGCGGCCTGCCTTCCTCAAGGGCAGCAGTTCTCGGATTCTTTCGGAGCTGAGCGGCTCCTTTCCGCTGGTCCCAGCGCCTGCCTCTCACCCCACCTGCTTGGGTCCACGCCCTGTCTCGGTGAGCAGGCTCCGAAGCAGCAGGCTGGGTGGTGACCCCTGCCCTCCCCCTCCAATCATGGCCGTGGTCTCTCTTCCTGTGCCCTGGCCAGCTGACTCACGGCGTGATGAACAAGGAGCTGAAGTACTGTAAGAACCCCGAGGACCTGGAGTGCAACGAGAATGTGAAACACAAAACCAAGGAGTACATTAAGAAGTACATGCAGAAGTTCGGGGCTGTTTACAAACCCAAAGAGGACACTGAACTAGAGTGATGTCGCGCGGCCGAGGTGGGAGGACGGGTCGGGGAGAAGTCCTGTGGGCCCCTGCCCGCCTCCCCACTGCCAGGGCTGTGCTACTGATGACATGTCACCCTGGGAAGTCACACCTGTAGATGGCAACTGCAAGCCAGAGATGAACTCCCACCTACAGCATGTGATTTCCAGTTTGAGCCGTTGGGGTGGGGCAGAGGCCAGCAGAGGCTAGGGCTTAGGGAAGGCCCTGGCCAGACCTGGTCCCACTCACACCTGGGTCTCCTTGGCGGTGCTGTCGCGCACAGGCCCATGCGCTTCCCCACCCACAACCCCTACTCTGACGATCTGTATTATATTTTAATGTATATGTGAATATATTGAAAATAATTTGTTTGTTTTTCCTGGTTTTTGTTTGGTTTGTTTTCCTTTTAGCCTCTCCGTGCTAGGATCACAGGAAGACTTTGTAAGGAAGGTTCAAGTTCTCCTGCAAGGTTTAATTTGTTATCATGTAAATATTCCAAAGCAGGCTGCCTTGTGGTTTTGGCCAGCCTTGTGCTATGTTGATAAGATTGATTTACTGCTTAAAATCACTTTACTTTATCCAATTTTTACTGAACTTTTTATGTAAAAAATAAAATCAATTAAAGAACTTGGCATGTGTGTTCCATAAAAGTTAATCAAGCATGCTGGTGTGTAGTAATGCCGCGGGAGAGAGGAGAGTGGTGGCCATGGTGTGTGGAGGAGAGAGGAGAGAAGAGGAGAGTGGTGGCCATGGTGTGTGGAGGAGAGAGGAGAGGAGAGGAGAGTGGTGGCCATGGTGTGTGGAGGAGAGAGGAGAGGAGAGGAGAGTGGTGGCCATGGTGTGTGGAGGAGAGAGGAGAGAAGAGGAGAGTGGTGGCCATGGTGTGTGGAGGTGGCCATGGTATGTGGAGGAGAGGAGAGGAGAGTGGTGGCCATGGTGTGTGAAGGAGAGGAGAGGAGAGGAGAGTGGTGGCCATGGTGTGTGAAGGCCAAGGTTAATCCCTGCGATGGATCTGGTTACAGACCATGTACCCCACAGGCCCCACTGAGGCCGAGGCAGGCAGATGCCAGAGGACTGATACTTGCAGGCTTGGGCTCTCACAGCCGTGCCCATGGCCCAGGTCAGTGTGCAACATCCTGGAAGCCGAGTGGCAGCCGTCTCCCTTCCCAGGTACCTGCCGGCCGCGGCAGCCCTCAGGAAGCTCCGACCTAAGGCTTCATCGGTGCTGGTTGGGCTCCTCTACTTCGGTTAATGTATCAGTCACAGAGACCAGCAGATGGCATAATGGTTACGATGCTGGATTCCCACATGGTTGACCATGGTTCAAGTCCCAGACCTGGTGGCTTAAACTCACACCAGGCACATGTGTGTGCATGCCCAAGATCCCCAGAGGAGAATGGAGAAGGAACTGCCATTCCCACAAGGGATGAATTTTGGCTTTTCGTCTCTCCAGCACACGCTATACCAAAAATGTATTTAAAAAAAAAAAAAGTCATCATGCCTCCTGGTGGGAGAGGAGAATTGAACGTCCTCCCTTCAGAGACTCGATTCTTTCTTTCTTTTTTAAAGTTATTTTAAGAATTATTTATTTTAACTTGATGGGGGAGGGGGAGAGAGCGAGAAAGCAAGCCACCCGGTCTGGGACTTGAACCACGGTCTGCCATGTGGGAGTCCAGCACCCTTATCCACCACACCACCTGCCAACCCCTCTTTCTCTTTTTACGTTTTGCCAAAGGGCACATGCACTCACCAGAGAGAGAAGGAAGGAGGGAGGGAGAGAAAGCAGCACCAATCGGAATGTCACAGCAATCCCTTCTCGTTTCTCCCTCCTCTGGGGATTTTGGGCACGTACATGCATTTGACATGTTTCTCATGCCATTGGGTCCGAGACTGAAACCACTGGGTCGGCCATGTTAGACCCAGCCGACTTACCCAGCAGGCCCTGGAGCCAGCCCAGACCGGATTTTCCTGAGCCCAGTGTTAGGTTCCCAGACCTCCCGCAGTGCCCTGGCCCAGGGCGTGGACACGGGTCAGAGGAGTGCAGGACCGATGGGAGCAGGCCCAACCCAGCCCCATGGCTGGCCCCTGCTGTCCAGCTCACTCATCTGAGCCTTCCCTGCCGCCCTCCGCATCCGTTGGGGTCACTGTCCTGGGTCATCCCAGAGTGAAGGCTGTAAGCACCCCGCTCTCTCTTACTGGAAGGCAGAGCGTCATGGCGCTGCGAGCAGCCCCGGGAAGGGCTCTGGCAGGGCAGTGGCAGCTGTCTGCCGTGTGTGGAGCTACCCTGCAGACCAGGACCTGGTCCCATGGTGTAGGAACATCCTGGAGGCCGGGTGGCAGCCATCGTCCTTCCCAGGCACCTGCTGGCCGCGGCAGCCCTCAGGGACAGTAACCAGCCTCGCCGCTGCTCCTGCCGGTGGTCTTGCTTGGCTGGGCTGGCCTGAGATGCCCCTCGGCGGCTGGGATGAGCAGCCTGTCCTTGGCCCGGGCAGGAACCAGGTGAGTAGCTGTGGACGCGCCTTTGAACTCCCTCCCAAGCAGAGTTCAGGTCCCACTCAGCCCCTTCTCCCTTTTTCTCACCTAGAGGCAATCTGAGGCCCTGGGTAAACGGCTTCCCAGGACAGTCTGCCTCCTGCCTGCTGTCGAGAGGAGCAGGACCCCAGCTTTCCCTCGATGCTGATCACGGCGAAGTTGGAAGGTGGTCTCAAGCCCACAGCCCTCGGCTCCGACCTTTTGAAGGTGCCATTTTATGTACCATTCTCAGCTAAGGAAGCTGGACCACAGAGGCAGCCGAGCTCCCCAGCACGTACCAGTGAGTGACAGGCATGGGACATCAACTTCCGCCTGTGCCCCCAAGCTCGTTCACCTCCACGGAGCACGCTGCCCGCCTTCCCAGTGCAGCTCGGAGGGGGCGTGACACAGACACTCACTCCTTGCAGGCCCAAGGAACCAGGCAGAGCCAGCGCAAAGGTCCAAAGTGCCCTTTAATATGGGATCCAAGAGTAGCAATGGCAGCTGAGGCCAAGTAAGGGGCGGGGAGTGGGGGTCCAGGGCAGGGCTGTTCCTCAGCGCCAGCCCCCCAGATCCTAGGCCCTGTCCGGAGCAGAGGCCAAGGGAGTGGTGCTGGGATCTGTGTCCCCGAACAGTGGGCTGAGGGGGAGGCAGCTGAGGAGGTGGGATGGTGGGGAGCACCAGGGGGCCAGGACGGACACCACTCACACCACAGAGTGGACCTCAGCGGGGGAGACCAGGGCCCGGGCCACGTCTTCCCTGCCCATGGCAGTCAGGGCCTCCACTAGCACCCTGAGGGTGGCCCCACTGCCTCTGTGGGTGGCCCAGTCGCTCAGCAGGGTAGAGGCTGGCACCTGGCCCTGGGCCATGGTCTCCACAGCCTCAGCCTGGTAGCCTAGGCGACCCGCCAGGCCCCGCCAGCCCCTGTCGGGCTCGGCCCCCTCCAGGAGCTGCTCCACTTCCTCCTGCTGCGGCCGAGGGAGATGGAGGTACAGTCGGCAGCTGAGCTCAGGATGCGGCCCTGGGGGGGCACATGAGGGTCACGCGGATGCAGCACTAGGTAGGTCCAGAGGACAGCGGACTAGGGAGAGGCACTCACCCTCCAGAGTGCAGGGCTCCAGGCCACTGGGCAAGTCCAGGAAGACACTGCTGTCCCCATGCAGCTGGTCCCGGTCAAGGGCCCCCAGCTCTGCAGTCCGAGCTTTGGCCAGTTGCCGCCTTTGCTTATGTGAGCGCCAACTGTGGGGAGTGGAGGACCTGCCAGCCTGCTCCCAAGGTCACGAGGAAGAGGGGCAGGCGGGAGTCCACATGGGAGGTGCCCCCGACAACGCCCAGACCACCTACCACTTGAAGGCCACATAGGCAAGCAGACCAAGGACCACGGAGGCCAAGAGGGCACAGTAGACAGGGGTGATGCTGCCCGAGGCCCCTGCAGGCTCAGGGGGGATGGGAGAGGAGGTACTGGGGGCCAGGGCTCCCCCTGTCCCTGTCCAAACTCCTTCCCTGGCCCCGTCCTGTCCTCTCAGGGTCTTATCTGCAGAGGGAAGGACAGGTAGGGTCAGGGGCAAGGAGCCCGGGTTAGGGTTCCTGGGCAGCTTGAAAACGGCCATCCCTACCGTGTTGCCCAGAGCTCAGTCCTGGCATCAGGAGTTGCCTGGATAACTTTCCCGCCCCACCACGCACAGCCCCTTTGCTTGCCACTCCGCACTCTGCCCTGCCCAGTCGCACCTGTTCTGGGGCTCCACCTTGCAGATGGGCAGGATCTCCTCCTCCAGGAAGCTTGACCTGCCTGTCCTGTCTCCGTGGACACCTCTGTCTACCACGACACTCAACTGTGTGACTCCCCTCAAGTCTGGACTGATCTACAGGGTCCCCATGGGGGCTTCCATGCACGGGAGGTCTAGTGCACTTTAGCAAAATAAAGCTGAACCAGAAGGGGAGTGTACATTTCCACCTGGAGGCCACAGCTGTCCTCCCAGCCCAGTGCACGGGGTACAGGGCAGGGGCCCCACAGCTCCTGGCTGGACCATGTGTGATCCACCTACCCGGGCCCTGAGACCTCCCAGTCTGCCCAGTGTCCAAGGGTGGGTCGAGGGCTGCTTACCCACGAAGTCCATGTCCTTGCTGTGGCAGGCTGGCTCTGCCTGCCTCGGAGTGCTCCCTGGGCTGTTCCTGGAGATGTTTGCCTGGGTCCGGTAGCTGTGTGCAGGGACATTGGGAAAACCCTCAGGCTGTGAGTCCTCTGGGGTAGTCTGTCCCACTGTCCTGGCTCAGTCCATCCTGACTCACTCCAGAGCTGGACCAAGTTCCTCCTGTACCCAGCTGGGGGGTCGGGGTTCGGCCCAGGAGGATGACAGATCAGAAATCATCCTGTCTCAAAGGACTTGGGCACACCTGGCCCGAGCCCAGGGGTGGGAGGGGAGGACACAGGAGGCCTGTCTCTGGGACTGCCTCAGCCAAAACTGGGCCAGTGGGAGGTCCACCTTTGGACTCCTCCGCCTACAGCAGGGCAAGGGGGCTGCAGCAGCCGAAAGCCCACTCCTTCCCCCTGGGGCCTGGGGTCAGCATCTAGCCCTGTCCTGCTCAGAGGCCGGGTGCGTAGGCAAGGGCTGGGGCAGCGGGCCTAGTGGCCCTGGGAACGGCCCTGTCTCCTCTGATGTGCTGGGACCAGCACCCTGCCATCCGGTCGGGGCTGAGGACGTGGGGGAAGGCCCTCCCAGTTGGGGATCACATACCCACCCCGTGCCAGGCTGGTGCCCACGCGTGTGGCTACCAACCCAAGGATGTGGCCAAGAGGGCCTGGGGCGTGGCCCGCAGGGGCCCTTGCCGAGCGTGGGGTGTGTACATTCGTGTCACTTACCACGAGGGGCCCTTCAGGGTCCTGGCTGGAGGGTGTGCCTGCGGCCAGCAGGTAGCTCGCCCCCCCCGGAGCTGGGACCGTCCCAGCTGACCTCAGGCCCGCACGGCTTCGCACACGCACCCTAGCTCGGACCCGGCACAAGGACTCCCACCACAGGGCAGCCCTCTGCTCCTTGGGCCCAGAGGCTCTGTGCCCCTCCGCGGGTGCCAGGGTTCGCGCAGCCGGCCGACCTGGGGCTTCTGCAG